CGAGACAAAATATATTCAGGTGCACACAGCATCGGCACGCTTGCAACAACTACACCAGCGTGTTGCAAGACGACCGAGAGAGACGCATGAGCAAGTGAGCGTGGTGGGCGCTGGGCACGGACTGGGCAGGCGGGCAACGGCGTCCACCACTCAATGGGAGAGAGTCAGGTAGGCACGGAACGAGGGAGGGGGAGGGAGGGGAGGGTGGGCACGCTGCTAGATGCTGCTGCTACTGTCACTTTTGTTGCCGACGTAAGGGTGCCGGAAACTCGTAGTGCATCGTAATGTCTCGGTAGGAAACAACATCAAGTCACTGCCGGCTCTATTCCCGAACAAGAAGCTCACCAAAACTAGAACGGAGACGGAAAAAGGATGCGCAAATACCCGGAACGTGTAGCTAACAATAAATGGGGGAAAAGCGAGAGCATATCAAAGTTGACGCTGACTCTCCGTTAAATTCTGCAGTAAAAACTTGATCGGGTGCACTCACTTCCCGGGACGCCTCTCCGCATTCTTGACGGAAAGGGAAGGAAACCCACTGTTTACTAACACGCAAAGCTTTTTTTACAACAGCTCTTCGAACCTACCACGGCATTCGGGATCTGATATTGCATCACGATGCTGCCGTGGAATTTGTATCAGGTGGGTAAGGTTACATGGTAAATAATCACGCTCTTGTCACAGGCACGGCTCTCTCTCCCTCTCTCTCTCTCTCTCTCTCTCTCTCTCTCTCTCTCTCTCTCTCTCTCTCTATATATATATATATATATATATATATATATATATATATATATATATATATATATATATATATATTTCATCTGTGTCTCTATGTCCATCTCCAGCTCCATTACTCAGTCTTTGCTGTCTATCTGTCTGCCTATCTGTCCGTCTGCCTATTTATCTATCTATCTATCTATCTGTCAGTCTGTTTGTCCCTCCCTCTTCTTCTCTTTCACTTTTTTCTCTCTCCCTCTCCTTCCACTTTCCCTTCACTCTCACCATCTCCCTCTCTCTTCTGAGGAAAATACAAGTCATCCGATATTTGAACATGATAACATTCGACCGACGGTGAATGTGAGTTTGGTATGGTAGGCATCGAATCATCTCGCATCAAATTGCGCCTTTTTTTAAACCAAAAAAACGCACTTTCATCTAATATTACGAATGCCTACTGGATACCTAACAGAATGCGAGGTATTCTTTTATACTCGGGAATTCTAGTGAAGGAACAGCTTTACTATCAGATGCCCAAATGAGATAAAATACGCGCGTATGAGTATACTTATTGACAATATCGATTTAACGATGGATTCTAAAGTGGCGAGCACGTAATTAAAAATGCCGTTCATTCATAGTCCGATGTTATAAATTCAAAGATCAGCCAAGCTGCTTTTAGAGCCTCTTCGCCACTTATGTTTACATCAATGATGGGATCAAACCCAGCAGCTGTGTTATCAAAATCCTGATATAAAATGAGTGCACTCACTACAATGTGTATACACATATACATGAACACAAACCAGAATGGCAAATGCATACACATGCACACACACACACACACACACACACACACACACACACACACACACACACACACACACACACACACACACACACACACACACACACACACACACACACACACACTCGCGCGCGAAAAAATGCGGTGGGTGGGATGTACTGATGGGTTGGATGACAATGTTCGGCGAGACGAGTGAGCGAGCCGATAAGATAGCTGAACACGTCGAACACAGTGTGAAGATAAGTGGGTAAGTGAGATGGATAGGTGAAAAGGCCGAGGTAAGTGCTGGATTCGCGAGGGTATGAGCGGGCGGGTAGAGTGGGCGTCCAGGGAAGGAGGAGTGAGCGGGTGAGATGGATGAGCGAGAGGGTATGGGGGTGGGTGAGGGTGGGCGGAGGGGAGGGTAGGAGCGGGCTGAGGCTGGAGAAATGGGCGGGCACGCAAGCTGGCCTCCTGGGTGGAGCGGCGGGCGAGGGAGCAAGGTGAGGCAGCCTGCAACAAGGATAACCTGGTCGCGGTGCCGCCTGGACGCCTCGCCGCCTTCACCTAGCACTGGAACCTGCGCTCACTGGTTCCAAAATGCCATCGCCAATGCCGCCTCCCGGCTGCTCGGGGAGCCGGCGGCGCCACTCGCGGCTCTGGGCGAAACGGCAGCCGGAGCTGTTGTTGCAGCAGGTATTGTAATGTCCATGATCATTATCATAATACTGATGGCAATAGCAGTCGTGGTGATGATGATTGATGATGATGACGATGATGAAGATGAAGATGAAGATGATGATGATTATCATTATCATTAGTATCATCATTACTATTATTATTATTAACATTATCATTATTATTATTAACATTATCATTATTATTATTATTATTATTATTGTTATTATTATTATTATCATTATTATTATCATTATTATTATTATTATTATTATCATTATTATTATTATTATTATTATTATTATTATTATTATTATTATTATTATTATTATTATTATTATTATTATTGTTGTTGTTATTGTTATTACAATATTGATATTCTTATCATTCTTGTAATAATCATGATTATTGGTGAGATTACTCTTACTGTTGTTATTGGTATTGTTGCTATTACTGTTGCTGTTATTATTTTTGTTATTACTATTATTATCATTATCGTTATCATCATTATTCTTATTACTGTCAATCATTACCATTATCATTATTATTATTATTATCATCATTGTTATCACTGCTACTAATGATTTATTATTACAGAATAATAGTTTTAGTAGTAATAGTAGCATCAGAAGCTGCAGTAGCAGTTGTAGTTGTGGTATATGTGTACCATGATGATGATTATGATGATAATGATGATGAAGATTGATGATGAAGATTAATGATGATGATGATGATGATGATGATGATGACTGATGATGATAATTGATGATGATGATGACAATAATAAAGATAATAACAATAATGGTTATAACAATAATAATGATAATAGCACTAATAATAAAAACAACAGCAGCAACAAAAACAACAACAACAATAATAAAATTATTGCAATACTATTAATAGAAACAACAACAATAATAATAAAATTATTGCAATACTATTAATAGTTACATCATTATATCAAAATCACTATTGCCTCCACGACCATAATCATCTTCCCCACCAACTTCCACGAAAATGCATCATGCTTCCCAACTCTGATTCATACACATAATCCATTTATTCAACAATAAGACGATTATCGAATCTACGGTCGGTTCCTGCCACAATTCGGGAGATTCCAACTCTAAAATCAGCAAAGAAAAATATCACATCGAGCTATAACCTCTGTAAGTCCTGATCATAAACGAAGGGACAAAGAATATTGGGTAAAGTAAATAAACACAAGAAGGGCCGGACTCTCCTGGCAAAAACAGAAATCCTAATTAAGGAGACAGGCCATAAAGTAACTGTAGGCTGAAGCGACCATCAGCAGGCTGCGGCACAAAGGGGCGTGTTGCAGTAGCTCTGTTCATGTTTTTGTCGGCGGCAGCAGAGTCAGGGTTGGCGTGTGCAAGTGAGCCCGTGTCAGGACATATGTGTTACCATGTGCATTTGGATTTGACGCATGCGCGCATGGTGCACGAGTTTCAGAACACATTTATAAACCTGTAAGCGAGTTTAAGTGCCTCGCGGCCGTATTAGTCCTACATTCGCAACATGAGTCGATTCAATTGCTCTCAGTGTTATAGTAAAATGATGAAGTGTGATTTAAGTTTCGATGTTCTAAGCTGCGAGTACAGAAGGCAACATGACTTGGGAGAACATAATGGATGCAATACAAGAGCGGCATGAGAGCAGGTTTTCAAGATGCAAAGGATGTCGCAACGCTCTTCAGGGAATCCTCCTTCGGACTCCTCCCTTCACGCTCGCCTCCTCGCCACTCCGCCCCGCATCTCTTCGCGCGGAGTCTTCGCCACTGCATCCCCCGCGGGCTCGTCATAGCTGCCACTGGCTTCGTCGTTCGCAATTTTTCTTATCAGAAACTTTCATCTTTCTACGACTCTTTCTCCTCCACGTTCTACTCATACTTCATAACTCCAACCGGATTTTCCTGAACTTGCTGAAGGAGCAAAATTCAATGTAATTAGTCATAAGGCATTACTCGGCTTTCCACAAAGGACTCTAGAGATTCAGTGGGAGATATACGAAGACAAAATTAGTGTTATCAAATAAAATTTTCAGTCAAAGCAGACTGAAACTTGAGCACAACCGCATGAGGAGCTCGAGGTGATCTAAGGGACACCCATCTTAAAGGAAAGGCATATCAAATAAAAGGTCCTATTATAGTACAGATATCGGCTATAACACCCCTACACAAACTAAAGGTGGGCGCCAGAGAAAACACAAAACTGCTCTCAACCAAAGAGATGTCCTAAGACAGGATACGTGAAATGCTGCCCCAAAGCTGTGACAAGTGAAACACAAATGTGTATTCCAATCCCCGCTCCACTTAGCGAAAAGAAGTGGCCAAATTGGTTTTGAATTGGCTCGGTTAGTTACTGTTCATTTGATAACTTAGCAGCATTTCCCCATCCCTCATCGCCACTTTCTAAGGATTTTTCATTGCCAGTAATACCTGTCTTAAAAAAGAAAGTAAATGCCGATTTTCCCCTAAGTTCAGTAACGTGGATAATCATTTAGCTTTTACTACAGTCAACAGGACTGCAGCTTTCCCTGAGCGGTATCCTCTTCGGCGTACTCAATTTTAATTAAGGAGAACAAATAACAAACGAAAAACAGGACCACATACAATTCACTAATTATAGAAAACACCTACAGAAGTAAATAAAAGCGTGGAGAACAATACAAATCTCAGCAGAAGTGAATCTCCCGTCACGCTGTTACTGCAACAGGTCCAGTGGAATACGATCAGCAGGAGGTGATGCCAAGGGTCATGATACAAACAAGAGGGAAATTCCCATCCAGGCGGCCGCCTGCTAGCAACGCAGGGACACTGCACGGCGGCTTTCGGACGGCGTGACAACAGCCTCAGTCCATCAGAGGTGTGCCGTGACACCGTCCCTTCTCCCTTCGTCCGTCCATCCGTCCG